GGACAGAAAGAGGGAGGGAGGAGAAAGAGGGAGGAGGAAGGAAGGAATGAGAGAGAAAGGGAGGGAGGAAGTAAGGAGAGGGAGGGAGGAGGAAGGAAGGAAGGAAGGAGAGAGAAAGGGGGGAGAAAGAGGGAGAAGGAAGGAGAGAAAGAGGGAAGAAGTGAGGAGAGGGAGGGAGGGAGGAGGAAGGAAGGAAGGACTGTCAGCTCCTTGGTGCTCTCTGAGTGGTGCAGACATTTCATGACCCCAACTAGGGAACATCATCAGTGCTGGAAGGGAGTTGGGTTTGTGGAGTGGAGGAGGAGGAGGAGGCGATGGAGCAAGAGGAAGAAAAAGAGGAGGAATGGAGGGGAGGAAGGAGAGGAGGGCGACTGGGGTTGGTTGTCCTCTTGCAGACATTTCACGGCCAAACTAGGGAAGGTCATCCCGGCGGTTCAGGGCTCAGCCTAGCGGCGCTTCCGTTCCCCGCATCTCCCCCCTACTTACCGACGGGCGCTTCCCTCCTAGATCTGCCTCATCCAAGGGGTCCTCTCGGACATCAACTTGAAGAAAGGAGAGTCGGAATGCCAATACTACATCGATAAGCTGGAATACCTGGATGAGAAGCAGCGGGATCCACGGATTGAAGCGAGCAAAGTTTTGCTTTGTCACGGGGAGCTGAAGAACAAGAACGGCCATGTAAGTAGAAATGGGGGGAACTGAGAAACCTCTGGGAATTAAGAGGGCGTGGCCTAGAAACTAGGAGGCAGGGAGTTCTAGTTCCACCTTAGGCATGAAAGCTGACTAGGGAAACTGGCACCAGGAGGTTGTGAGTTCTAGTCCCACCTTAGGCATGATAGCCAGCTGGCTGATTTTGGGCCAATCACCAGGAGACGGTGAGTTCTAGTCCTGCCTTAGGCACGAAAGCCGGCTGGGTGACTTTGGGCCAATCACCAGGAGACAAGGAGTTCTAGTTTCATCTTAGGCATGAAAGCTGACTGAGTGAACTGGCACCAATCACTAGGAGGTTGTGAGTTCTAGTCTCACTTTAGGCATGATAGCCAGCTGGGTGACTTTGGGCCAATCACCAGGAGAATGGGAGTTCTAGTCCCGCCTTAGGCACGAAACCCAGCTTGGTGACTTTGGACCAATCACCATGAGACGGGGAGTTCTAGTCCCACCTTAGGCATGAAAGCCGGCTGGGTGACTTTGGGCCAATCAGCAGAAGACAGGGATTTCTAGTTTCACCTTAGGTATGAAAGCTGACTGAGTGAACTGGCACCAATCACCAGGAGGCTGTGAGTTCTAGTCCCACCTTAGGCGTGATAGCCAGCTGGGTGACTTTGGGCCAATCACTAGGAGACAGGGAGTTCTAGGCAAGAAAGGCAACTGGGTGACTTTGGACCAATCAATCAATAACTGCCTTGAATTACATATTAATAATAAAAGCAGGATTTTAAAAAAATAGAATAAATTCTTGCGGACAAGCCCAGAAAAAAGGCCTCTATTCCTCAATCTCTCATCAAAGATCTATAATCGAAGGCAAACAAGGATTCCAGGCCTTCCACCAGGTGCCCTTTATTTCTTCTCTTACATAAAAACTAAAAGAGGGACCTCTCTCCCCTTGTCAGCCTTGGCGCCACTTGACCCTGAGCTGTTCTTAAGAAAGTCAATTTAAAGACACCAGCCGGTCCTCGGAGAGCGGAGCTGGTAGCTGTCCAGTTTCCAGGTGGCTGGGATACAATTCACAATTTGGATTTTTGCAGGGGGGGGCGGAGATGCATTCCTGGGGGGGTAATACACTTTATTAAGTGACCCCCTGGGCGTCAGGTGGGAGGAAAATTAATGACTGTTGCATCAATATTTACTTAGGACTGCTTTGCAGGAATAAAAGATGGGCAGTTCAGAGGGTCATTTTTAAACATCTTTTGTCTCGGCTATAAACAATGTGTGTTCTCGTTGGTCACCTTCATGTCTTTTATGATAGTTTTTTTTTTTAAATCCTTCCCTTTGGTCTTTATCATAACAAAAATATTTAGACAAATTATTGAGCAAGAACTGGCAGCCAAAGGCTAGTGGGAAAACATGGGTCAATTTTGGCACATTTTCTTTTGGCAGGATGGGTGGGCTTCCACTCCCAGAATTCCCCAGCCAGCAAACCTTAAGAAAAGTGGACTTCAACTCCTAGAAGTTCTTAGCCAGCATACTTTGGACTTCTACTCCCAGAATTACCCAGCCAGAAGGCTTTGAGATGGGTGGACTCCCATTCCCAGAATTCCCCAGTCAAGCATGCTTTAAAATGGGTGGACTTCAACTCCCAGAATTCCCCAGCCAGAAGGCTTTGAGATGGGTGGACTTCCACTCCCAGAATCCCCCGGTCAGCAGGCTTTGAGACGGGTGGACTTCCACTCCCAGAATTCCCCAGTCAAGCATGCTTTGAGATAGGTGGACTTCCACTCCCAGAATTCCCCAGCCAGCAGGCTTTGAGACGGGTGGACTTCCACTCCCAGAATTCCCCAGTCAAGCATGCTTTAAAATGGGTGATCTTCCACTCCCAGAATTCCCCAGCCAGCAAACCTTAAGACAAGTGGACTTCAACTCCCAGAAGTTCTTAGCCAGCATACTTTGGACTTCAACTCCCAGAATTCCCCATCCATTCCTGACGTTTGGTAGCATGGCTATGTGTCTGCTGGCTGTGGGATTCTGGGAATTGAAGTCCACGAGTCTTAAAGCTGCCAAGGTTGGACACCCCGAATCTAAAACCAATGTTTTGTGGTTAAAATATGGCGCTTTTTTGTTGGTGGGTTGTGTGTGGCAGCATAATGCCCCCAAACTTTTCAGTTTGCATAGAAATATATATATATTAAATATAAATATATATATATGTTGAACTTGAGTTCCCTGTCTTTTGATTGGGGCTGAATTCCACTTAAAACTTCCTCTCCTCCTCCTCTTCCTCCTTTCCAGAAGCTTTACATCTTCCTTTTCCAAGAAATCTTGGTCCTCACCCGGCCCGTGACGCGGAACGAGCGCCATTCTTACCAAGTGTATCGGCAGCCGATCCCGGTACAAGACCTGGTGCTGGAGGACTTGCAAGATGGGGACGTCAAAATGGGCGGGTCGTTCCGAGGTGCATTCGGCAATTCGGATAAAGGTAGGAAGGAAGGTTCCAATATTTGGGGCGGGGGTGGGTGGGTCAGCCTATTCTCCAAAACACCTGAGAGAGGCGGCAGGATAAGAAGTAGCCAGGTGGAAAGCTCGTCGTAGTAATATTGGTTCTAGAACTTCTTCAGTTGTGCCATCCGATAGAACGGAGGAGGCTTCTTGGATGAGGAGTGAAATGTTTTCCAACCAGTCTCTCCCTTTCGAAACGTTCTGCTTCTCATCCAAGAAGCTCCTTCAGTTCTAAGACCAGTTGTAGAACTTCCGTTCCAGCACCGGTCAGAACAGGAGAAGAACAAGGACATAACAAAGGAAGCCCAGTAGGCTTTTTTTGGTGGGGGAGGACGGGGCGGGTGGGGAAGAGATTGGAAGCCCCTTAGGGACATCCCTGACCTGGATCGGATGGAACCATCTCCGTAAGACGTCCTCCCTTCTCCTTGCTTCTTCTTTTCCCAGCCAAAAACATCTTCCGGGTCCGTTTCCGGGACTCCTCCTCGGGCCAGTCCCACACCCTGCAGGCCAACGACATTTTCCACAAGCAGCAGTGGTTCAACTGCATCCAGGCGGCCGTCGCGCCCTTCCAGCCGTGCCCCGTGCCCTTCGAGATGAAGGACCTGCCCGAGCTGAGCGAGGAAGGCGAGGAGAACCACCAACCCTTCGGCTCCAACGCCAAGATCCAAAGGAGGCAGCCTTCCGCCTCGGGCAGCTTCCGCCTGGAGCTGGGCGAGAACGGCGCCGAAGACGACGCGGCGGGAGAGCCGAAGAACGTCAAAATCTACCGGATGCATTCGGCGCTCAGGAGGAGCAGGGACAAAAACCAGATCAGCGTCAAGCGGAAAGAGACTCTGGTTTAAAAAAGCCGGAGCGAGCGGCCTCCTCGCTCTTTTATTTATAAATAAAAGTGTACATTTTCTTTCCTGTAATGTGAGAATGGTGAAGGGACTCTCCTTCTCTCTTTGTTGGTCTTTTTGTGTTGTTACATGTGAGTCATGGTTCCTTTCCTTTCCTTTTTTACTTTTCCTTCCCTTCCTCTTTTTTCTTTCTTTCTTTTCTTCCTTCCTTCCCTTTCCTTTTTTCCCTTCCTTTTTCTTTTAAAGGCAGCTACTGGTTTTTCCGCAAACGTTGTTGAACCCGGCGTCTGATCCCTGGGGGTTTGGGGTCGAAATTAAGGGCTTTGGATTTCTGGATTGCAACAGCCGACTCCGGAGGTCTCGATCCTTCTGTACATACTGTTAATATCGGGAAGGAAAAAGCATTCTCCAAAGGAGTGCAAAGCGTTGGTAAAATTGCTTTCTGGATACAAATCAGCTCTTTATATATTCAAAAACAACAACAGTTCATCGGGAGGGAAAATTGGAATTTTGAAAGAGCTTTGTGGCTCTTGATGATTTCGATTCTCTTGAACACAAGTCGTCTGATTGTCCACTTTTCTTCTAAAGCAGCGCTTCTCAATCGTGGCGACTTTGGCTGGGGAATTCTGGGAGTTGAAGTCCACCTGTCTTAAAATCGCCACGGTTGAGAAAAAACCCTCCGCTCTCAAGGGCCGGGACCGTTCCACCCAGAAAGACCCCAGGTTCAACGCGTTTCCATTTGAACGACTGGAATTCTACACTCGGTGGTGTGCTTTCCCTTCTGCGGAATTGCTACGCCACGTATTTAATCTTGTTTTTGTTTTTGTTTTTTTAAATATTATTTGAATACTTTTGTAGACCCTTCCTTTTGTACTTTTGAGTCCTGTGTCGTTTCTTTCTCGATACGGGACCCTCCCACCCTTTCTCCCCCCGTCTCCCCACTCCCTTTTCTTGATGCATGAGTGCTGGTATGTATACTATTTGTGATTCCAGACCGAAAAGCCAATTCAGACCCTTGGAAATCCGGTGGAAACCAAGCCATAGATTAACTGGGAGGCACTGCAGTCGCAGGGAAGGAGGGAAAAACAGGCCGGTGGATCCCACCTTCCCAACGGATCCGGGATTCGGGGAATCTCTTGAAAGAAACTTGCCTCTCGGTGTCAAAAAGTGGAGCTCCGGTGGTCGGGGAATCGGCTCTCTTAAAAATAAGGAGGAAAAGCGAAGTTTGTTGGGACGAATAGCAGTGGGGGGGAGAAAAATAACCCCAGCGGTCTGAATGTGAACTGCTGGAAGAGAAAGAAGGAAGAAGGATAAAACGAAGGGATAAAAAAAAAAGGGGACAGTTTGCGAGAGAAAGGACGAAGTCTTTTGAAAGGCATCGAAAGACGCAGTCACGGTGGGAAGCGCAGAGGAAGCATGTTGTAAGTCGGTGAAGAGGGTTAGTGAGGGGTTTGTCGCTGTGTTGGGAACGGGGAAGATAAAATATGGATGTTGGGTTTAATGGCAATTTTCTTTTGAGGATTGATCTCCAGGTGGGAAGAAGGCCCTTGCTCAAGAGGCAAGGAGTTTTCCCCCCCAAAAATAATAATAATAATAATTAAAGCCGCCATAATAAGCTATTTAAACCACCTGAAAAACGACCCCCCCCCCCCCCAAATTGGCCCAGTAAGAAGTAAAAAAAAATGATAATTGCAGAGTTTTCTGCCCTTTTTTTTTTTTTTTACTCTTGTTCTGGTGCAAAAACGCATCTGGCCAGCATTGAGGATAGGGGGATGAACCGCCCTTGCAAGCAAATGTAAATAGAGAATTACCAAAGCACTGTAAATGTTTCCTTGTACAGTCACGTGAAATTGGAGATTAAAGCTCGTATTGCATTGATTCCTCATTGTGTGGCTTGTTTTGATTGGGAGGAATGAATGGGAAGGGACGGGCGCCTGCGGCTCAGATGTCCCAAAGCTCTTCAAAGCGACGCATGTTTTAATTTTAGGGTCGCGGCGACTGAGCCAAGGCACAGCGCCGAGCCTTTTGAGGGGAGGATTCGTTCAGTTGTTAGCTACAACTGAAAAAGTTGTGAGGGGGTTGTTTTTTTTTGCTTCTCGGGTTGAGTTGCAACTTGTCGTTCAACGCGAGAAGCAAAAACGCAACTTAAGTTCCCTCTTTGGTAAATGCGGGACGGTGTAGCTCTCACTTCTTTTAATTTTTATAACAAAAACAACAGAACAACATTACAACATTAAACATTGTTCAGTGACCCTTTTCAAAGTTTGAAGCATGTGAAAACGTGACTTCCGGCCGCTTTTCACCGTTACGACCTTGGCACGATCGTGGGATCGAAAGTCAGATGCTCGACCACTGGCTCCGTATTTATGACGGTTGTAATGTCCCCGGAGGGGGTGGGTGTCATGTGATTCCCCTTTTGTGACCTTCGGACGAGCCAAGTCAGCGGGGAAGGCGGATTCAACTGCAGTGTTTCACTTAACAAACATAGCCCCAAAAGTTGTAAAATGTCCCCGAAACTCACTGAAGGAATGTTTCACTTAGCAACAAAAATTTGTTGGTTGTAAATCGGAGGGCTCCCTGTATATGCTGACATTAAAAAAATTCATTGGCTTTTCCTTGTCCGAAGCAAGCCAGGAAGGTGACAAATGCCCCCAAATTTTGATCCCTTGGCTGTCGGTATGCTACAATGGTCGTAAGAATGAGGACTTGGTTTCAAGTCCCTTTTCTCAGTGCCGTCGTAACTTCGAAAGGCTGCTTAACGAATCGTTATGTAAGTCGAGAATTACCTGTATTGATTCTGGTTGTTTGAAGGCCATCCACGAAGGCAGATTTGCTTTAAAAGCCCTAAATCCAGAGGGATTTTGGTCCCAGACACGGAATTCAAATGGGTTGGGCCGTTTGCAATTGAGAAAAATAAAATAAAAAGGCCCACTGTTAGCATATGGTTTATTTCTCCTGCTAGGGAGAGCACGTTCTTTAAACCTTGCGGTGATTCATTAACTCGGATTTAGGGTGAAGCCTGTTGCGTCATCCAAATACACAGACAATTGTCAGCCCCCCCCGGAAAACTTTTTTTATTATATGTCCATCTTGATAAGAAATGTAGGCAAATATCCGCTAAGCCCAATTGCTCAATAGGCGTTGTGCAATCCCCTTTCTGGATACGGAGTTGAGATTACTAGATTTTATCCGATCCATTTTTATTTTTATTTTTCCTTTGAACTTTCAATGATGAGGTCTGTTTAACATTCTCTTTTACCTGTGTTTCTCCAAAAATAAGACTTGGTCATAGATAGATAGATAGATAGATAGATAGGGAGATAGATAGATAGATAGATAGATAGATAGATGATAGATAGATAGATTGATGATAGATAGAATGATGATAGATAGATGATAGATTGATGATAGATAGATAGATAGATAGATAGATAGATAGATAGATAGATTGATGATAGATGATAGATAGATGATAGATAGATTGATGATAGATAGATAGATGATAGATAGATTGATGATAGATGATAGATAGATTGATGATAGATAGATAGATAGATAGATAGATAGATAGATAGATAGATAGATAGATAGATATAAAGAGGTGTGTGTGCATGTAGAGAGGGGAATAGAATTTAGAATTTAGAATAGAATAGAATAGAATAGAATAGGCTGGGAGGTGATTGCCCCTCCCGTAAGGTATAAAGGTCAGGCCAAGATGACGAAACCTTTGCAGGAAGCAAAGTCATTTTCTCGGTTCAGATTCATGCTTGAAGCTCTTTGTACTTGGTTGGTTGGGTTTTTTTTTCCTAGTTCAGTGGACTCTTCTGTTATTGGCAGCACTTCACAGGAAAAGAAAGGTGGGTGCTGATCTCGAGGGACTGTTTGAGATTTCTTACCGGTTGGGAATGAAAATAAATTGCCAGCGTTTGCAATAAAACAAGACTTGTTTTTAAAATAAGTGTGTGTGTAATTACGGTCTCAGGAGCCTCGGTCAGGGCAGTCCGTAGCAAATGCTGACCGAACTGGTTGTTACACCGGTTGAATTGCACCCCTGATGCAGTTGTATTATTGCATTCATGGCATATACTTATTTACATTTGATTTCTGATTTCCGATTGACCTCACATAAGCCAGACAGGGACGGTCAAAGGAACAGATGTGGCCCAGGGGTTATGAAGCACCCAGGTCTGCTTTAGTATTAATGTTAACGTCTACGGAGATGAGCCAGGTCATAGTTGTCCCAAAGGAGCTTTTTCAAGAGGCAACTGGGGTCTTGTTAATCTTCGTTTTGCTTTTTCATCACAAACGGAGCAACGTGGCCTATGCAGTACGACGGAGTGAGCCATGGCCAGATTTGTACATTGGGTAAACAAAACAGCCACGTCACAAACACATGGCGCAACCTAGGAGAAAACAAGCCCACCAGGGTTAGATTCAGCTGTCCATCTGCATTTATAAGACAAAGACCACTCAATGTAGAGATTTCAACGTAGAGAAAAGTAAAGTCCTACATTTAGGCAAGAAAAACCCAAAGGATACATATAGACTGGGTGAAACCAGGCTTAATGGCAGGAACTGGGAGAGGGATCTTGGAGTCTTAGTGGACAACCAGCTAAATAGGAGCCAGCCGTGTGCAGCAGCAGCCAAAAAAGCCAATGCAATCCTAAATTGCATTAAAACAAAGGAATACAATCCAGATCAAGGGAGATACTAATACCACTCTATAAAGTATAAAGCACATCAAAGAATGTCCTTCCTGCACCAACTCAGGAAGCTTAAACTGCCCAAGGAGCTGCTGATCCAGTTCTACAGAGGAATGATGGAGTCTGTCATCTGCACCTCTATCACTGTCTGGTTTGGTTCTGCAACCCAACAGGACAGACACAGACTTCAGAGAGTAATTCGGACTGCAGAAAAAACAATGGCTACCAACCTGCCTTCCATGGAGGACCTGCATCCTGCACGAGTCAAAAAGAGGGCTGTGGAAATATCTACAGACCCCTCACATCCTGGACATAAATTGTTTCAACTCCTACCCTCAAAATGACGCTATAGCACCCTGCACACCAGAACAACTAGACACAAGGACAGGTTTTCCCGAACGCCATCACTCTGCTAAACAAATAATTCCCTCAACACTGTCCAACTATTTACAAAGTCTGCACTACTGTTACTATTCATTTTCTCATCCCTCCTTATCACCCATCCCCTCCCACTTGTGGCTGCATGACTGTAACTTTGTTGTTTGTATCCTTACTATTTATATCGACTGTTTCCTAGTATGATTTGATTGCTTATTGTACCCTATGACTATCATTAAGTGTTGTATGTTATGATTCTTGATTCTTAATGAATGTATCTTTTCTTTTATGTATACTGAGAGTATTTACACCGAGACAAATTCCTTGTGTGTCCAATCACACTTGGCCAATAAAGAATTCTATTCTATTCTATTCTATTCTATTCTATTCTATTCTATTCTATTCTATTCTATTCTATTCTACTCTACTCTACTCTACTCTATTCTATAAAGCCTTAGTAAGACCACACGTAGAGTACTGCATCCAGTTTTAGTCACCACACTATAAAAAAGATGTTGAGACTTGAGAAAAAGTGCAGAGAAGAGCAACCAGGATGATGAGGGGATTGGAGGCTCAAACATACAATGAACGGTGGCTAGTCGAGGGAAGAGAAAGACCAGGGAAGACAAGAGAGCAGTGATTGCTCTCTATTCTATTTTCTATTCTATTTTCTATTCTATTCTATTTTTTAAAAGGAAGGATCTAAAATCGAAAGAGAATAGGGATGTCAGAACGGAAGACTAAAACAGAAATGCTATAGAAATATATAGCTGTATAAATGTATTTAAAGTATGTATTTTATGCCATAAGATGTGTGACAACAAGGATTGTCAGGATGATTACACCGCATCCAATGTTTTTAATAATTTACTTAATAAGTTTTGTATTAA